GATCACTGAAGGTAGGTGCGGGGGCGCCAGGGGGTGCGGGGCTGGGTGATGGCTGCCCCTGGCGGGACGGCAGGGGTCATGGACTGGCTGGGCTCATTCGCCTCCTGTACCCGCAGCCAACCTGACCGGGCACGAGGAGAAGGTGAGCGTGGAGAACTTCGAGCTGCTCAAGGTGCTGGGCACGGGAGGTGAGGACCCCCATTCACCGGACAGGTGTCCCAGGCTCGGCGCCCTGGGCCTCCCGCCCATACGCCCGCCTGGGCCTGGGCCGGGCCAGTGCAAAGGCCCCCCACCTTTTCCCAAAACAGGCCGCCTTGCCTGCCCCACCCTGCCATGCCATGGTTTGCATGCCCACTTCTAGGGCACTCCACATTGACATCTTACTCCTCGCTGCAAGGTCCTGCGTGTGCATGCCTCCTCCCCTGACTTGCCAACACCCTTGGGGCTTGCACCCCTCCCAAGTGATTGGCACAGCTCCTCTCCCTCTACCGATGTGAGAGCCCCCTCCCACGTTTTGCAACCTCCAGACCTGGTTTGCACGCCCCTCTCCTGGTCAAGAGTGCACCTTTGCCTCTTTTCCTGGCATTTGCATCCTTTCTCATCCCTTGGATCTTTTGCAGGTTTGCACATGCCCCGCCCCCACCCCTCGCTGCAGGCTCCTGGAGTTGCATGCTCCCTGGCCTGGTGTGCACATCCCTTCCCTGGTTTCTTTCCTGGCATTTGCATCCTTTCTCATCCCTTGGATCTTTTGCAGGTTTGCACATGCCCCGCCCCCACCCTTCGCTGCAGGCTCCTGGAGTTGCATGCTCCCTGGCCTGGTGTGCACATCCCTTCCCTGGTTTTGCTGAGCACCTTCCCAGGGTGTGTGCACCCTTTCCTTAGAAGGCTCTGCTAGCTTTTGCACACGTGCCTCTTGACCCAGCTCCTTCCCCCAGTTTGCAAACCCTCCCGGGTGGGCGTCACCCCACTCCTCCAGTCCGCACCACGCTCTCATTCACTGCCTACCCTCTGCCCACTCACTGCTCCCACAGCCTACGGGAAGGTGTTCCTGGTGCGGAAGGCGGGTGGGCACGATGCAGGGAAACTGTATGCCATGAAGGTGCTGCGCAAGGCGGCACTGATACAGCGCACCAAGACGCAGGAGCACACGCGCACCGAGCGCTCGGTGCTGGAGCTGGTGCGCCAGGCGCCATTCCTGGTCACGCTGCACTACGCCTTCCAGACCGATGCCAAGCTGCACCTCATCCTGGGTGAGGGCACGCCACATGCTGACCTGGGGGCAATGGGGGCAGGTGAGCCCCCCCGATGGGGGCTGCTTCCTAACCTCCACCACACCCCCCAGACTACGTGAATGGCGGGGAGATGTTCACCCACCTCTACCAGCGCCAGCACTTCAAGGAGGCTGAGGTGCGCGTGTATGGGGGTGAGATCGTGCTGGCCCTGGAACACCTGCACAAGGTGGGTGAGGACCTGGCCTTGCAACTGTTGCCATAGAAACTGGGTCTGGGCCTTATAAGGGGCCTACAAACATGGCAGCTTTGGGTCTCCCCTTGGGCTTCCGGGGTGGTAGTGACCTTGGTGGGGACTGGAGCTGCCTCCCCAGGCCTCATTGCTGCCTGGGGTGAGTCTCCTCTCTGCCCCCCATGCCTCCTTGAAGGGGCTTTCCTCTCAGGGAACTCAGGACTGCCTCCTGGGGCTGCCTTCACAGAACTTCCTCAAATGGAGACCTCACGCCTTGGCTCCCAAGGCCTCCTTGAGATGGGGCTCTTCACACAGACCTTCCTCCTTTGGGACTGTGGGGCCTCCTTCCTTGCTTTACCTCTTAAATGGCCTTTCTCATCCCATGACCCAGCTCTGCCCTGGGCCCACTCCTGTTCTAGAGGGGTCTCCTTATCCCGGGCAGGGACACGAGCTGTAGGAGCCAGAGAGGGTCTTGGGGGGGAAGCCCAGCCTCAGTGCCCCTCTTGCTCCTGCCAGCTGGGCATCATCTACCGAGACCTGAAGCTGGAGAACGTGCTGCTTGACTCGGAGGGCCACATCGTGCTCACAGACTTTGGACTGAGCAAGGAATTCCTGACGGAGGAGGTGAGTAGATGGCAGCCTGTGTCTGCAGTGTCCCATTCAAGCCATCCCTTTCCTGTCCCCTCCTGCTCCGTGCCTGCATTCTGGGGGTGCCTAGATCCGGAAGCTCCCATTGCTCAACACTCCAACCTCCCAAGTCCCGCGAGTCCCACTCTGAGCCTTGGGAGCTGCTGGGGCACACGAGAGGTTTGGATGTCCAAATGGGTCCTCTCTGCCTCCCAGAAAGAGCGGACCTACTCCTTCTGCGGCACCATTGAGTACATGGCCCCTGAAATCATCCGCAGCAAGGCGGGGCATGGCAAGGTGGGTTGGCAGGGAGGCAGGGCTGGGTGGTAGTAGTGGGTGGGAGGTGGGGGAGGTGCAGGGCCTCACCCCAGCTCCACCTGCAGGCTGTGGACTGGTGGAGCCTTGGCATCCTGCTCTTCGAGCTGCTCACGGGGGCCTCGCCCTTCACACTGGAGGGCGAGAGGAACACACATGCTGAAGTGTCCCGGTGAGTAGGGCTGGACGTGGAGGGCGGCTGAAGGGCTGCAGGGCCTGCCTGGGCAGGGCTGTAGGGGGGGCTCGCTGCCCCTGACGCCCCCCAATCCTCCCAGACGGATCCTGAAGTGCTCCCCTCCCTTCCCCCCCCGGATCGGGCCTGTGGCACAGGACCTGCTGCAGCGGCTGCTTTGCAAGGATCCCAAGAAGCGACTGGGCGCGGGGCCCCAGGGGGCACAAGAAGTCAAGAACCACCCCTTCTTCCAGGTGAGGCTTCTGACTCCAGGGCCCCCACACCTCCCTGCACATACTACATACGCACACCCAACATACCGGTGCTTGGCTGCTGCTCTGGGCTGGGGGACACTAGAGGGATGGCCTGAGCCTGGCTAATTTCACTTTATCTGGAAAGCCCCCCAGATAAAGACAGACCTAGAGAAGACAGGTGACCTGCCCAAGATGGCACAGTAAACGGAGCAGAGCTGGGAACAGACCCGGCTCTAGATAGGTTTCTCGTCGGCTCAAATCAATACTAAAAATCACACTTACGGCCCTTAACATCCACTAGGTGTTTTGTTCTTTGTCCTGTACAGTCTGTGTGCTTGTAATTCAGAGGGACGGTGATCAGACCACGTAGGTTTTTGCTCACTTGTCAAGAGCGTACACTTTAGTGCTGTGTAGAGTGAATTCTGCCTTGTGTCAGTCTGTGTGCTTGTAATTCAGAGGGACGGTGATCAGACCACGTAGATTTTTGCTCACTTGTCAAGAGCGTACACTTTAGTGCTGTGTAGAGTGAATTCTGCCTTGTGTGTGTGACCTCGCTGACTCAGGCTCTATGCATGGCCAGTGTCATTGCCTAGCAGGACCTTGTAAAAGCGAATACCTACTCTGTGTCGGCCCTTTGCTTACATTATTTCATGGAAACCTCATGGAAACCTGATTGTTCCCATCTTTACAGCTGAGGTTCAGAGAATTAAGTAATTTGCCCAAGATCACCCAACCAGGAAGTGATGGAGCTGCTTGAAACCCAGGGCTGGGTGACTTCAGTGCCAGTTCTCTTAACTCTACATGTGGGCATCAGGTTTGCCACTCGTCTGACATTGTAATAAAAGTGCCCATTTATGGGCACTTATTGTTGGCCAGGAGCTCTGCTATCCCTGCTACATGTACCATTTCCTCGAATATTCCTAGCAAGTAGCTGCTTGGAAGGGCACTCCTGGGATGCTTTCTCAGATAGGAATCTAAGTTTCCAAGGTGAAAATGTCCCTTTGCGGGGCAAGGGAGGTGGGTAGTGGGTGGAAGTGGCTAAGCAGTGTCAGTTTTCTTTAGCGACTTCCTCAAGCCCACCCTGAGTTCATGCTGGGTGCTATGCTGGGTGCTGGGAGTGGGCTGACCAGTCATACTGGAGAAGCACCATGGTCTTTGAAGCTTGACACTCAGAAGGAGTGTTTCCCTCATCCCGCCTTCCCTTGGACAGCCTCTTTGGTCACAGCAATCCTGAGGTCCCTGGTGGCGGAACCAGGGCTTTCAAGCCTAAGTCAGGTCTCTTGGCTGCAAGTGACAAAAAATCCAGCTCAAAATAGTGGTATGTCCATTGGAATAGAGTTTGGCTACTAGCAACAGAGATCAGAATGAACAGTGACCTAAGCAATACAGAGGTTTATTTATTTTTCTTTTTGCATAAAAGAAGTCCAGAAGTTGGCAGGCCAGGGCTCCTGTGGTGTGTTCATAGTGTCTTCAGGAATCCAAGGTCCTTTTTTTTTTGGGTGGTTGGCCAGTTCAGGGATCAAACCCTAGACATTGGTGTTATCAGCAATGTGCTCTAACCACTGAGCCCCAGGCATTTAAAAAAAAATGTACCTCCATTCTTAGCATGTAGCCTCCATCCTCAGTGTTACTTCCTAGCCCAAAATGGCTGCTGGAGCTCCTGCCATCTAGGCTGCTTGCCAGGCAGAAAGCAGGAGGAAGAAGGAGAAGTGTAAAAAGGGCAGTGGCCAACTATCCACATCCCTCTTGAGGATGTTATTCTGGAGTCCTACCTGACAATTTTTGCTTACGAGTTATTGTCACCACTAACTGGAAGTTTGTAAAATATTCGTTTAGTTGTGTATATTGGTTCCTGGGATAAAATGGGGCTATGGTACTAAGACAGGGAGAATGGATAGTGGGCAGGCAATTTACAGTATCTGCCACATTGGCTTAAACATAAAAGGGTATGTTTTAGCTCCCCTAAGGGAAGAGTCCAAGGAAAAGTAGACTGACTTCAGGCAAGGTTGCATCCAG